ACCATTAACTCAACAGTTAATGGTATCGTTTGCCCTTTCTAATCCAGTCACATACACTAACCATCTCCATCATGATATTCAAGGGATATAAAATTACATAAGTCTGACATTCAGTTTTAAGAGAAAAGAGCTGCTTTCTATCATCCAGTAGACCTGCAACATCACACTACGTTGGCTTACAGTGGATTGAGCATCTATTGCCATTGGGCCAATTTTTTTCAGGGAAGGATTTATGTCAAGTGAAATGGTGACAGTAGTTTGTTTTTGAAGATACAGATGTCATAACTGCCTAAAAAGCCATTGTTTAAGTTAAACCAAGACCTGGGCTGCTCTAACTCTGAAGTAGGAGGTACATGCAGTAAGTCACAGAATATTTATACAAAATATGCTTAAGCAACATCAAAGACTACTTACACACTTACTAAGAGGGACATGCCCAGAATATCTCATACTAAGTGGTATGAATTAGATGATTTCAGAGATTATTTCACACCAAAACCGGAGTTGCTTGCCACAGGACAGAATATGTGATTACACTGGTTTAATCTCCTACCAGCCTGAAGCTGCTGCCCCCAGTAGCTGAGTCTGACAATTGAGCCACAGGAATTTTACTTCCTTTCTAGTTACTACCAAAGTTGACAGGGACAGCAACAAAAGTCACCTGGTCTACCTGAAGCAAGGTTTTCATGCTGTGTATAGTCACAAACACTAAAACTCATTTCCCCAGTGGTATTTTATCAAGTTTCATTTCTCAGAAACATCTCCTTGCTGGATAGTTCTCTTCAGGGCAGATCTTCATCCCTAAACAAAAAATAACAATTTCTGCATTGTGTTCAGGTAAAAAAAATCTACCAGAATGACAAGCGCCTTGCGGCTGGCAACCACACGGTTGAGCTGCTCCTGCATGACTTTGAGAAAAATTATCACATGTATGTGTATCCTGTGCACTGGCAGTTTCATCAGCTTGATCAGCACCCTGTTGACAGGTAAAAAAAAAAAAATCTTTTTGGGTTCAGTTCTGATTTGCTGTTTAAACTCAGGCTGTTTTAGTGTTTCTCTAAACCACTCAAAGGATTCTGTACATATAGAACCAGTCCCTCAGATCTTAGAAGCCAGCATCCTCCTCTTTCTAACACAGAACTTCTTCCCTCATTGTTTTCCTGCAGTAATGTCTTAGGTCAGAATTTGCTATCCTCTTGCCTTGCATAATCCTGTATTACACTCTGTAAGTTCTACAGAGTCTTAATAGCAACTAATGCCCTGAACCAGGAAGAAATCCTGTTACTACTGAAGCTAGGAGCAACAGGCTAAGTACAAAGGACAGAGTCCTGTCAGTACTAATTCACTAGTGAGGTACCCACAGTTCTCAACTACTACCACAGTTTAAGGAGCAGATATGTAAGACAACACCAGTGTCACAGTTCAGAGGAAGCTCACAGCTTCTGAGAAGACCCAGATTTCAGGCTTTTGGTCATATCACTTGGTGATGGGATCCATTTTTCAAAGCTCTAGGCTCTCAATACCTCATGACAATCACACTCACTGTCTTCGAACATAGCTAAGTACCTTTGCAAGCTTGATCTCCTGAGGATTAACAGCAAAACTCCATAAATGATGAGTTTTGAGCAAGTCACTACTTGTCATACTAGTAATTACTACACAAGGAATACTTGTTTGATAAAACAAAACTTAACAAACAAATAGCAGCTAAAACATTTTAGATTATTGGGTATTATATATCATCATAATGACCTGGGACAGATTCACTTCAGAAGCACAATAGAATCCACTGGGGTGTCTCTGATAAAGGCACTGTTGATGTCTTCTAGCAGCTTAGATCCTCTTTGATAATCCTGATGATTTAATAATGAAATACAGCTCTACACACCTGCTCTTTCTTTCAGATTATTAACACACTCAGAGCTCGCGCCTTTGAGAGCCTCCCTGGTTCCCATGGAACACTGCATAACCCGTTTCTTCCAGGAGTGCGATGGAGACCAAGACAAACTCATTGCATTGAAGGAATGGTGCCACTGCTTTGGGATTAAAGAAGGTAAACACAAACGAACAGGCAGATGTGCCTGACAAAATGTTCCTATCAGGACTAGGTACGTTCTCAGATCACAACGTGAGGCAAAGAAATTGTAACCAGAAGCTCATGGCTACTGTGCTGAGAGGCAAATAGAACAGTAATGACAAGACAGCAAAAGGGGCAAGGTTCTACATTTTTTTCATAAAAACAGGAAAAAGGTCTGCCTCTCTAGAAACACTCTATTTTATCCTTCAGTGCCAAAGGAAAGGTTAATTGAGCTTGCACTTTTAAATCAGTGGTCAAAGCATACTGATTGAAAATGCATTTAAAGATCTCAAGCCAAGTAGGGAAAACAACCAAGATCTTTCACTGATCAAGCAGAGATTGATCAAACTCTAGATTACAATACACAACACAGATGCTCTCATCACACTGTAGGCTATTTCACCTAACCTGTCGCTTGCAACACGTGCCCACCAGACTGCATGCAACAGGAAGCTTAGGCAGAGGCAGGGACAATTTCCAAATCCTAAACAGGATAGGCACATGTTTGGTTCAGCTCAATCCACCTTGAGACTTCTGTAGGATAGTAAAAAGTTTGGTACTACTGTGCTGGTGATACCTCTAAAATTAGGCAGCAGCTGAACAGAAGCTGTCATGATAGTAATTTGAGATTTATGAGATTACCGCACTCAACATAAGGCATTCTTTCACAATCTACCTTCTTCTGATCTAGCCCTGAGTGATAGCTGGACAATACTGCCAGCCACTAAGTAAGGGTTAAACAGGTTAATCCCAGAAGAGTTATGTGACAGAAGGCATTTGGCTAAATATTCAGACTGAATAAATGTGTTCAAAATCCTACTAGTAAGTCCCTAATTTTAAGGGGAGGCTGATTCTGGTCAAAGGTCAGATACACAAAGGCTTCACTGTTCCTAGAATTTTTCCAGCTCTTCTGATGACAATTTAGCAGTCACAATACACAGGTGGAAAAAGCTGCAAGAATTTATCTTAATACACATATACTGCTGCCAGTGTTTGCTCATTCCCAGGGTCAGTCATTCATGAAGAGGGAGGTGGAAGGCATTCTTGGCTCACAAATAGATCAAGGAGACCTAACACTAGAAACAAGAAAGCACCATCAAGAAGGGTCTAAATGAATGGCTCTTAAGTATGACAGCAGCAACCATACTTGTTTTTTGACAGGGACAGCATTCCCCTACATGAATCCTCTGAAACTTTAGTGTACCAATTTATTGATAGTGATACAGCACAAAAATGCCTTTTCGGCATAAAATGTTAATAACACTTTCTTCTTCTTTGTTGCAGAAGACATAAATGAAAATCTGCTTTTTTGAGCCTGGCTGAGCAGATTCCCAGTGCTGCACTGAAACTGGTGAAATATGTGAACCCTGTCTATTTCTGTTATTAACAGCTTCATAGCTTTCAAGACAAAGGTGGTGTAAGGTTCACTGCATTCTTATCAAATAACACAAGTGCAGAAGATTTCTACATTCATTAACAGCAGAAAAATTTAACTACTCCAGCTGGCTCATAGCTAAACAACCAGTGTTTGCCCCTACATGTATCCATGATCTCTCTGAACCAGTAAATAGTACTAACCTAAAGACTGACCTGTTCACAAAACTCTTCAGTAGAATTATAGAATTTAGATTTTACCGTACACTGAAATGGGACTTGTTTCCTTTATTTACTGTATTGTCAGCTTAACATTCTGCATAGAAGTCTCAAATAAAATGTCTACCTAGATATATGGTTTTTGTCAGAACTTTGTTAAAGAAAAAGTACCAAGGCAGTGGAAAGGTTCAATGAAAACTTCATTTCAGATATAAAGGAGGAGAAGAAATAGAGCGTAGATCATACACGCCAATCCTGAACCCAAAATTCAGTAAAAAAGATCAGCACTTTTCAGACACTTCTTCCCCTACCTCTTGAAGCACAACAGTAACAGTACCAATGCCACACAGCAGAACTCCTGCTGACAAACTCTGTATGAGCATAGTGAGTGTGGATGCATATCAAGACAGCTTAGCAACAAGTCCACCATCACAAGCAGCAGAGGATATCACAGCTCCAACACCTCCTTATTCTCCTTAGCAGACACATTCTTCCTTCATCCCCCAGAAGCACCAACTAGTGCTACCATTTTTTTTCTGAGAAAAAATGCTAACTATGTCTTTCACCATCTCCCATCTCTTGCTGGCCTCAAGAGAGGCACAACTGAAGCATAAAAAAGTCAGGACAGGATGAGATTATTCCTGAATCCCATTAACTCTGTGATTTTATTTTTAAGCACTTCACTGAAAATACTCCAATCAAGCTCTGCTTTAACGAAGAAGCCCCAAATGCTATTCCTACAAAGGAAGGTCAGAAAACACATTTCACCTGAACCATGTCGCCTTTCCAATGAAAAGAATATAGGATTCAGAAATGCTATTTTGGTAGCTTAAATAGTGGAAGTCCCCAAGCTACGATTATATTTAACACAGGAACTTCTTACACAAACCAAGGATTATTTCCCAGAGAAACTGGTTCCATTGACAATTTTTCCCATGAGCCTGACTTTTTGCTCACTTCACATTCTGTAACAACACACAGAAGTGTTAGCAGCATAAATGCCATAGAAGGCCCACATCAGCCTGCAACTTACTCACATTACCTAAAGGCTTAAATTCACAAGATTATACCTTAAGGCTGCTCCTTCCAATGATTCTGTTTATGGTACAGTCTCCCCAACAGCTGTACTGCCATAAACAGTGGGAAGAGGGACCTTAAAATCCAGCTCTCCAAATCAGTCATCAAGTTTCATCCTTCAACAGTTATCTTTTTACACAGAGGCACTGTCACACATTCAGATGTGAATACCATCCATACCATAAACTAAAGAGTAATTAAATGTGAAAACCAATCTCTCAAAATGGAAAATCACTGCAAGGACGTGTCAAGCGAAATGATTCAAAAAAGAAACTTCACTTTATTATGTAGCACTTAAATTAAGTCATTATCCAGGTTATCCTACAAGTCTCACATCCCTTAAGGATTCATTCCTGAAAAGGAATCAGTGCAAAAATACAGAGCTAAAGTGAACACCTTCTGAACCACCACCAGTCAGAATCCCAGTGTGGCTGTGCACATCTGCAGATATGATGAAACAGCTGCAAATAACGAAGACAAGGAAGCAAAGCAAGGTCAGATCTCCTCCTTCATCTCATTTCACACTAGCTAAGAAATCAAAAGAAGCAAATTCAAGTCTCTGAAAAACTTTCTATTTATCACTGTCGATTGTTTTTTCCAGCTGAATTTCACAGAATTTTCAGTGAATTTCCTCTCAAAATGACAATGTCATCTGTTTCAAGGCTGGAAAACATATTCTTCTCTTGATGTCTGTCAGTTCCTCGTTGACATCACTCATGGCACTCAGGTCCAGGATCCTCACTCCAGTGGGCTCCCCGTTTTTCAGTCACAAGCTTAATGAAGTAGCTATGACTTGCATACAGCTCAAGCTTCTCACTGATGTCAATCCACTTGACTACTCCAGCATCATCACCTGCTTCCAGAGGCAAATTATCCATTGTCTCACCTATTCACAAAAAAAAGAATTAGGACATGCTATTGTATCTTTTCTTCTTGCTTTTTCTTCTCAGATCCAATCAGTTCCCCCTTCCACAATGCTTCTTCACAGGCAGCAACTTCTTCTCAGAGAAAAAAGAAGTAAGTCGCTCACTGATTCTGTGCCAGTAACCCTTCTCATACTTGTACTATTTTAAGGCAAATCTGAATGGTGGAGGTGGTGGTAACTCCTTGTCACCACTTGTAGGGTACCATCAGCAGCACAAAAAGTTACTTGAAATCATCAGGACAACACATACTCACTACCCCAAGATTAGCCAATCCCTCTGCCTTGATTTTTGTTTGTTTGCCTAACATTTGACTGCTGCTTTTCTCAGGTACTATTCTACATGAAAAACCAAATTCTGAAACATATATGCACTTATGAAAAAACAGAATAACTAAAACTTTGCTAAAGGCCCCAAAATCAAAAATACTACTTAAGAAGAGATGCAGAAAGGCTTCTGAAATGCTCCCTCTAAGTTTTTACTCTGTTTCTAAAAAAAGAGTCCCAGGACTTCATAGACAACAACCAAGAAAACGCTTTTAAATTCTGCATTAGAAACAAAGACCAAAGATATAGGATTTCCCCCATTTCTGGGGGCTGATAAATCAAGGACCAGTGACATGTGAAACTTCACAGCTGGTACCTACTACTCAAAATTCAGTGGAAATGTCACTATATGAAGTCTCTGACTTAACAAGTCAGAAACACCTGACTAGATTGATGTCTCCTGCAGGTGAAAAATGAGAGTCCAAGATAACAGATCATTCTAAGAATCTAGTCCCATATTTTACACCTGACTTGCATGTTCTCCAATTTCACTGCCATTCTCAGCTCAACATAGGTCCCAATTTCAAACAAGCACATGAAGTAAAAGGCAACTAAGAGCACATATGGAGATACTCACCTGTTTCATCATGATAGTTCACAGCCTCTGTCTCCATCCAGGCATTATCAGTGTTACGAGGGTCATCCACATATCCTCGGTACACCTAAGGCCCCAAACAAACCAAAATAAGCTCAGCATCACAGCAAACAAGGTGGAATCACAACAAACAAAGTGGAATCACTAAGATTTTTTTCCTTTCCTCTAACACATTTGCCCTTACAGCGTTTTCAACAGTCCCTTCCATTTCCTACCCCATGAGAACCTGAGCAACGTAACTTATTTTCATTCCAGCTACACTTTCTCAAGTTCCATAACCTGTGAATTACATGCATAGCTCAAGAGGCTATCACAAGAGACCCAGAGCTCACCACAAAGTGTTCCTGGCTGAACAGCTTGTGGAGCTGCTTCTCCAATTTTGCTTTCTCCTCGGGTGATTTCTGCAAAGAGTTCAAGGCCTCCTCCCCAAATTCCCGCCTCAGGGTAGCGCTGATCTTCTCCCCTGGGTCCACCATCCCCTTAGAGGGAGAAAAACAAAAAAGGTGATTTTTTTTCAATCCCTCAGATTTGACCTGCTGTAACTCCCAGCTCTTAGTATATTACATCCACCTGCATCATACTCTGGACACGGGAGGAACTTTACAATCAGCTGTAAAGATCAAGCACATATGCCCTTCAAAACCCGCAGTGGAATCAACTGTACCTGCATTAAGCAAGACATGGGCAGATTTAAACAGGAATACCACTTTGCAATGCAGAAACATCAGAAGGCATGCCAGCTGATGCCTGGGCAAAGTTAGTTCAAGGAGCATTTCTCCTCACTGCTGCAACACCAGGTCATTCATCAAAAAGCACTCTTCTATCACACGCATGCCAGTTATTGCCTCATGGCTTCACCAGTGGGGGGAGATGTCAATGTCTCTGGAGCTTTCCCCTTACCCCTGGAATGGCCCACTCCCCACAGTCTCTCCTCTTGATAGCCACGAACTGCAAGATGTTTTTGCCAGTAACTGGATGAGCAACTTTATTGCCACTTCCGTCCCTTTTCCACCTGTAGCAAACGACAAAGGCACAAACACCCACCACTGCCTTCAGTAAAGGATTAAGAACTACCAATAGTTAAAGCAAAAAGCTGTCCAAACAAAAACTTAAACAAAAGCAGCATGTCCTTGACTTTCAAGGAAGCAACTTGGTAGCAATGGCATCATTCTGAAAAGGGGAAGAACTAAAATGTACCAGGATGATTTTTCACAACAGTTCTACCTTCAGCATGGCACTTCCTAACTTGCACCTTTGTTAACTACACAGTCTTTTCTGAATGCTTTGTGTACACACAGATCCTGCTGGCAAAAGTACATTAAAACAAAGCACATGCTGACCAAAAGAGGATCTTAACCACACATCCTCCTATAATATAGTAAGTCAAGTTACTGTTTCTTACATAACAGAAGCAGGCACGTAGCTTTTTATTCTATTTTTTTTTGCAATTGTGTCATTATGACAGAAAAACCTGTTCTTGCAATTTAATTTCACATGCCTCATATTTAAGGCCTTTTGGCAGTATAGTATCAAAGCATCACATAATCCTTTCAGTTCTTATATTTGTTACCGAAGATTCTTTACATAATGTATTTCCATTGAAATATGCTTCCTGGGTTATTTGTTGTTTTTTTTTTAATGTGCTTTCTCAGCATTTCAGAAGCAATTGCTTGTAATTAGCAGTGAGTCCTTACTCTTTACCATGTGTTCCTCATGTCTGTGTACCTCTCCACTCAGATACCCATATCTGAATGGGCTTACATATAGAGAATACACACACGAAAGGGCCACAAAAAGTAATAGCCTGTCCAGAGATGCACAGAAGAAACAAAATGCACTTTTTCTGTACTGCAGGGCACCTTGCAGTCACCTGCCCCTTACCTAGTTACGATGGGATCAGCAGCATGGTTTGGTCCCCAGCGCCCCAACAATCCTCTGCCTGTGAGGCCAGTCCTTCCCGCTGGATTTCTGAAATAAATGCCACAGTACACAACTTAAGAGTCCTGAACTGGTTCTAATCAGAAATTAAGCCCAGTTGCACCCTGATCTCTGAGTTAGGACAATGCTATTGTCCCTCTGATCTCTGAGGGTCAGCTGGAATGCAAGGGGGTTTATTTACTGCCAAATTTATATACCCTTGACACAACAGTACATTAAACATATTTATTTCCCCGCATTCAAAAGATGCTCCAAGTATTCTAAAAAAAATAAAACCAAAAAAACAGTTTTAAGGAAGATTAAATAACAAAAAAGGAAAGGATAGCAACATGTATTCAGTGTCCTCATGGGCTTTAAAAGGCAAGAGACACAGCATGGTTTTCTCCTTCATCAACTTCTTTTTGTGTTTAATAGCACAGGCAAAGGAAAAAGACAAAACAGCTTTGTCATTTTTCAGATCTTGTGTCCCGAGATGGTCCTGATCAGGCATCACTCTCATTATGCACACAATCTTGTCTGAAAATGGAATCTAGTTTCCAAGACTATAGATGCACGGACCATTCAATTATGTACAAAAGGCGGAAAGAAGAGAAACTATTTTTAGGTGAGATTACCCATCTGTGCTATGCCAGGATTTGTCAGTGGAAGGAAATACTCCACTCCTCCACCTTAGCACACAAGTGGAACAAAAGCTTCAGAGCCCCACATTTGGTCAAACTGTGGAAACAATTAACCCAACAAACCCTACTATTGACAGTATTAGACCTCCCCTGACTCCAGTGCCACCACCACCCTACGTTGTGGCAGTAGTACTGGCTAACCATTCCACGCCTCTCTGCCACAATCTTCTTCCAAGAAGAACTCTGGCTCCAAGGTATCAGTTTTCCTGTCTCTAGGGGGGACTATCTTGGCTTCGTTCTAGCAGGTACCACGTACCAAAACTAACAGACCTGCCGGAGGACTGAAACTACATCACTGAAATAAATATGCAAACAAAAAAACCACACTCACCGGGGTCTCCCATTTTCAACCACATACAAGCCATTCAGACTCTTCCTCTCCACTTCTCCATCTCTCTCATTGAATTTGGGAGAAAAACCTTCATCACTGTGTGGAAAATAATGATTTAATAGAGATACGTTATAAAACACAAAACACCCCTCTGGCCCCCAAAACCATCAGACTGGCAACACTCATTTGACCAATAAGTAGTTTTTACCAGAACTTATGTTGCAGGCCCTCCCTTTTCTTTATATAAAGTCTCAACCTTTATTCATTATATTCTCCCTATATTTAGTTCTGCAGGAAAAGTGCAGAACTAAAGTATTTAACATCATATCTCTGTAAATTTTCATTTAGACAAAATGTTTCAAAGGTATTCTCGTTAAAGTTAGAATCGTAGAATCACAGAATTGTTTCAGCTGGAAAAGACCTTGAAACTTATTCAGTCCAACCATTAACCCAGCACTGCCAAGCTCACCACTAAACCATGTCCCTAAGTGCCACATCTACATGTCTTTTAAATACCTACAGGGATGGTGACTCAACCACTTCCCTAGGCAGCCTGTTCCAATGCTTGATAAACCTTTTGGTGAAGAAATTTTTCCTAATATCCAAACTAAACCCCCTCTGGCACAACATAAGGCTATTTCCTCCTGTCCTATCCCTTGTTATTATAAGGGAGAAGAGACTGACACCCGCCTTGCTACAACCTCCTTTCAGGTAGTTGTAGAGAGCAGTAAGGATCCCCCTGAGCCTCCTTTTCTCCAGGCTAAGCACCCCCAGCTCCCTCGGCTGTTCCTCACCACACTTTTGCTCCAGAACCTTCTTCAGCTCCATTGCCCTTCTCTGGACACACCCCAGCACCTCAATGTCTTTCTTGTAGTGAGGGGCCCAAACTGAACATAGGATTTGGGGTGCAGCCTCACCAGTGCCGAGCACAAGGGGACAATCACTGCCCTGGTCCCGCTGGCCACACTATTCCTGATCCAGGCCAGGATGCCATTGGCCTTCTTGGCCACCTGGGCACACTGCTGGCTCGTGTTCAGCTGCTGTCAACCAGCACCCTCAGGTCCTTTTCTGCTGGGCAGCTTTCCAACTCTTCCCCAGCCTGTAGTGCTACACGGAGTTGTTGTGATCTAAGTGCAGGATCCAGCACTTCACCTTATTGAACCTCATCCAATTGGCCTCGGCCCATTGATCCAGCCTGTCCAGGTCCCTCCACAGAGCCTTCCTACCCTCCAACAGATCAACAATCTGGCACAACTGGGTGTCACCCACAAAGTGACTGAGAGCGCACTCGATCCCCTTGTCCAGATCATCAATAAAGATACTAAACAGAACAGGCCCCAGTCCTGACTTTAAAATTTTTAAAGTATTGCTAACACCTACTAAAAGATTACACTGTCACAACTTGCCTTGGCAGAACATTGGCACACCTGTGGAGTCTGAGAATTGCCTTGTAATCAACAGAATATTAAACCCCACTAAGAGTAAACAGGAGCACATGTTCACACAACACTGGGGAACAAGGAAGGCTGAAACCTCAAGAGCCTACACAGATGTGCATACATAGGAATCATCTTTTCACATTTATCACAAGTTACACCAGATGCATGCATTTAACTTTCTAGCCAAGAAGCATACAGCATTTCTTGAGAGGAGAATATTCACTGAATCAATAAAAATGAATACACATAATCAAAAAACCCACAACAATTACAGTCATGCATTCAACCTGTCATATTTCCTCAGTCAGAGCACTGAAGAACTGCGATTCTACTTTCTTTTCTCATGTTGCATTCAATCCATGAACAAACAAGTATATTATGAAAATACTGTCCCAAATTCTTAAGGAGAATTAGGAAGTTTTTATTTAGCTCACAACATAGAGAAACACTGGACAGCATCAACAGCTCAGTAAAACCACGTGTCAAAGACCTTCACAGCTAACCCAAACAACTCAGTTCTCTAACCAACACTTAGACTTGACTTTCCCACATCACTTCAGAATCACACATCACTTAAAATTATGATCTTGTTAACTCAGGTCATCACTATTCCCTGCTTCCATGTTCATAGAAGAAAAGAGCCACCATTTCCACTCACTTGATTTGGGGATCTGCCCAACTGGGTCCAGACAAAACAGACTTTGCAGTGTACTCCACAGGATTATAATCTTTCCATTCCGTCAACCAGCCCACTTTATCCTCAGGAACTTGGCTACGCTCAACATGTGATCCTGGATACGGGGAGGTGAGAGCTTTGCTGTGGTAGAACTTAACATTGTAACTGTTGAACATGTTCACAGGATGAAGATGGGACCAACAGTTTGCAGATGAGTTACTGAAAAATAAACAAAACAAAAAAAAAGAAATGTAGCATCTCATTCATTAGGCTTTAACCTGTAATCTAATACCAGATCTGCAGGGTACACGATAGCAAGCAGAATAGACCCAGCTCTTTCCAGAAGACAGTTCTCAGTAATATATCACTGCTTCTTTCAGTGATGTACCATACCAAATGTATGCAGGCCCAACAAGTCTGAATTTTATCATCAGCTACTTGAAGCAGAAGATACTCTACTAAATACACATGAAGATTTAACAGCATGAGGAAAAGCTGAAAACTAGAATTGCCATTCCAGGCTGTGTGTAACAGTGACTAGTTAGCAATCATATACAAGGAACACCTCAAAGATATTTAGGATAAATGCAGCAAGAAGTCTGCTAAAGCATTAACTATCTATTTAAATCTTTATTAAATCTCTATTCATCAATAAAACAACACAGCCTTGCAAGAGTCCTGCTCTTGCATCCAGTGGTAGACCACGTAAGACCAAGAATGAAATATCTAAGAGCCTGAGCAACACAGTTCTTCGAGTTGCAGTGAGCACCAAAGTACCATTTTGTGCAATACAGATATGGGATAACACATACTTTGCTTTTCAGTTTAAAAGAAGGCTAGAACTATCAAACAAGGTTAAAAGAAAAAATACTTGAGGCCTCTATTTATTTTATTTTGCCATGGGTTTTCAGAAGCTGAAAGACCAGTCAACAGTAAAATACAACAGGTTGGGTTACGGTGCCTGTTCATCAGCTCTTAAAAACTCTACACAGATTTTCTTCAACATACTAAGTGGCCTTCTTGAACTCAATTTTTTTTTACTTGTTACAAAAAAAAAGATTACTTTAGACAAGAGCCTTAAAGCTCAGCAAGGGGTTATTACCTAAAAAAGTACCTTAGAAACAAGAAATTCATAGTCTTAGAAAAGTTATGGGGGTTTTATCAATAAACAATCGCTTCCTCTACATAAGGAAATATAATTCCTCTGCAAAAGAGGAACCACCTAACCACCTAACATCTGAGCAAGGTGATGATGGGACTAATGAGTTTCACGTAAAAAAAGAAAAAAATATTCATACATTATTTACCCTGGTATTTGAACCCAGATGTGAATATTAGATTATAACCAGCAAAACAGGCCATGCTTTTTCAAAAACAGTAGTGCCAGTGCCAAACACCCCAGATGCTGTGAAATCCTCAGGTGCATCTGGGAGAGGAGGTTCTGCTTCTCACTGAAGCTGAGAGTTCACTGGCACAAGTACAGCATGTGTCACATTCACTGTTGAGCTGATGTTCTCAAAAGCACAATTCGCAGAATCAATTGGGTCGGAAAAGACCTCTGAGATCGAGTCCAACCTCTGACCAAACACCACCATGTCAACTAGACCACGTGCCACGTCCAGTCTTTCCCTAAACACCTCCAGGGACTCCACCACCTCCCTGGGCATCCCATTCCAACGCCTGAAGACCCTTTCTGTGAAGAAATTCCTCCTGATATCCAACTCAGAAAACACCTGAAGTTCAAAAAAACCACAAACTCCTAGCAGAGATGTGGAAAAGGGCAACATTCCTTTTGTATTTTTCGGTAATTACATTACTTCAAAGGACAGGCCGGTTTGCGTTTCTGCCGTGCCCAAAAGGAACACCCCTCAGAGCCATCGCACGCCCCGCGCCGAGCTCCCCCTGCGCCAGTAGGGGACGGAAGGCAGCCCCGGGATAGAGGGCAGCCCCGGGATCTCGGCCCGGCCGTGCGGCGGCTGCTCCCCGCACAACAGGGCACCGACCTCCGGCAGCGACACCCGGCCGCGGCTCCGGGGCGCGGCCCGGCTCCCCCGCGCACAGCCCGCGGTACCTGTGTGCCGGGCGGCGCTGGGCAGCGCTCCGGGCCGACAGCAGCACGGACAACGAGAGCACGGCCACCGCCCGCCGCAGGGACCCGGCCGGCAGCGGCATCGGCGGCGCCTCCGCGGCCCCACGGCGGCGGGAGCGAGCCCCGCCTCAGCCTCGGCCCCGCGGCCGGGAATGGGACTCTGCGCCGGGCTGCGATCGGCGGTGCGAGGCAGCCGCTCCAGGACACCGCTCCGGGACACCGCTCCTTCCCAGCTCCTACCCCCGGGCCGGGAAGGAGCCGCCCGCCGGCCCCGGTACAAGCTCGCCCCGCATTGGGCGGAGCGGCGCCAGTGACGAACGCCCCGATCCGGGACTGTCTGGGATGGAGCTCGTTCCCTGCGGTGCTAGGCTGGGCACTGGTACCTAGAAAGGGGGCCGGGAACACAGCAGTGTTTGGGCTACTGCAGAGCACCGCTCCCACAGTACCAGCGCTGTCTCTCCAACATTCCGCCGGCCATCAGCAAGGGCGGGGTGGGGAAGATCCTGGGACGGGACACCGCGAGGCCAGCTGACCCAAACTAACCAAAGGGATGCTCCATGCCGCGTGACGTCAGCTCAGATATGAATACTAAAAAAAATAAAAAAAGGAGGAGGAGGAGGAAGGGGAGGGCATTTGCTATTTACAAAGTTCGCCTTCCGGAGCGACCCCTACGTGTGCTGAAGCCCTGCTTCCCGGGATGTGGCCGGACTCCACCTGATCATGGGAAACAGAGAATAATTTCTCTCTTCTTTTCACCTCTTTGCTTGTGCGCGCGCAAACTTTCGATTTTACGTCAGTAAACTGCTTTGTCTCAACCTGCGGATCGCTTCTCGTATTATTCTCCATCCCCTGCCCGGCCGGGAAGGGGGAATGACAGAGCGCCTTGGCGGGCACAGGCTACGATCCAGCCCCCGCCGCCCCCGGCCCGCTGCTCGGCCACGCCCCCGGACGCGCCCCCAGCGCTCAGCCGCGCTCTGATTGGGCGCTGCGTCGCGGGGGCGGAGCCTCGCGGGCCGTGGGCTGGGCGGGGGTAGCGGGACCCCGGCGTAGTTCGGGCACCGAAGGAGTCCCGGGAGAGCCATGAACCTGTTCCTGGAGCTTCTCCTGTTTCTGGCCACGCTTGTCTACTCCTACCTGGAGGCTTTCGTGAAGCTGTTTGTCCCCGTGAGGAGGAAGTCTGTCAGCGGAGAGCTTGTGCTCATCACGGGTGCTGGCCATGGCGTCGGCAGAGCGACCGCCCTCGAGTTCGCCAAGCGCCAGAGCAGGCTGGTCCTCTGGGACATCAGCAAGGTAATGGCACAGCTCGTGCCCTCACTCCTTCACCTCCGAGCCCGATGGGGTTCAGGAGCGTAAGAGGGGCATCACCTGACTGCATCCACAGCAGCTCCTTCCCCCTGCGCTGCCGTCGGCTCACGGCCGGCTCTGACTGGCCCGCTGAGCGCCAGGAGAGGGTTTGGCCCCGCTGGCAGCAGAGGATGGAGGGCTCTGGGTCGCGCAGTTCCTCGGCGCTGCTCAGCGAGGGGGCAGGCACCGCCTGGCAGAGCCCCTGCGAGAGGGAAGTGCGTGCTCCGAGAGCTGCTGCTGGAACCGCTGCCTGGGCTGGCAGGCAGAGCACGCCGAGACCGGCAGCCTGCGTCCACAGAGGAGCAGGTTTGCCTCCGCTGAGCGTCTCTGGCCTCGGGCTTTTTGCATACATTGCTGGAAGGTGTGTTTTCTCTTTACTCATATCAACAGCATTGCTGTGCTGAGCTGCGTGTGAGCCCTGCTGCCCTCTGGGGCAGCTACAAGTGTAGATGGCTCCTTGCTGAATGTTCATACTGGCCCAAAGTGTTTCAGAGAATTTGACTGGAACGCAAAAAGACCTTGGCAAGTGGAGGTACAGGTACAAACATGCATCTTGGCAGTCAGTAGGGATCAAGGCCAAGTGTATGTAGGTGCAAGCAGCTGTACAGGGAGGATGAGAGGCTGGAGAGCAGAGAGTGGGAAAGGTTTCTGATGCAGTGGGTCAGGAGAGGAGTTCATCCTGTCATCCTGAAGCTGCAAAAACAAAATCCAGCCCACTACAAACAAACAAAGAAAACCCCACAAAATCCAAGACAAGCTGAGGATAAGGGGTTTTATAAGCAGGGAAGGTACTGTAGACCATTTTCAGTGTCTGTTCGTGCTGCCCATTATGGCTAAGACCAGACACTGAAGATGTGGCAGGAGGCACAGCACTGCTCTCCCGGTGTGTACAGGGCTGCAGCAAAGTAGAGCATTGTCCATGTTCTCTGGATGGAATTCGGGGATTAAGGAATAAATTCAGTAGCGAGCGACACCTGGCTTTGGTGCTGGGAAATAGACTGTAAGGGTGGGCGTAAGGAGGAACTGAAATACAATACCAAGGGAGTGGTGGATTCCAGAGGATTTAGGACTGTGCTTCTCCAGTCCAGCTACCTAGTCCAAGGCCTCCTTCCTGGGGGCTCTCAGCCTTAAGCAGCAGCCAGGACTGAGGGCAGCTGCCCAGTCACCCACTGCAGGGACCTGCACAGGTAATGTCAGGTGCTGAGCTGTCCCAGGCTATTTGTGACCTGAGGCCTTTCACTGCACAGGTCCTCTGGCGCCTGGGGACAAGCCTACACCCAAGTCACTTCTGCTTTGTCTTAGTGGGTTGATGTAATGACTTAGGGAAGCTTCTGTTCTGTGTGTATCAGATGCCATTCCTGAAATGCCATTTTGCACTGTGGAAGGCATCACTTTTCTTACACCTAGTCTGTGAATACATAGAAACCACTTTTCATATCTCAAAGTGTCAGACAGGCCTGTGTTTTAAGAGTTCTGTTTACACTCACAGTGTCTCCCTGCTGTGCTGTGATAGGCACTGTGTGCCCCCTTTCTGCAGCCTAGTTACATGTGCCTTACCAAGGCAAACTCGCTGTTGTTGCCACATTGCCTTTCTGGCAGTCCCTCTAGGCAGGTCCAAAATTTAAGGCTGGAATACCTGTCCTCTCATGGATCCCACCTACAGCTCTGTCCCTGGGTTACCATGGGGTGTGGCTGTGTTTGTACAGTTAAGAGACATCTCCAGGCTGTAACTGCTCTACCAAGGTGCCTGAGCAGCAACACGTGGGCAGGGCACAGTTGTGCAGGGGTGTCTTTCTTTTCTGCCCCTTCCAGCACGGCGTTGAGGAGACAGCAGCAGAATGCAAGGGTCTGGGGGCCACTGTTGAAACCTTCGTGGTGGACTGCAGCAAACGGGAGGAGATCTACAGCGCTGCAGAGAAGGTAGGGCAGCAGGGGCATGGACAGAAGCTCACCCAAACACGCTCCATTTCCAGAAAAGCCGGGAAAACTGAAGAAGAGGCATTGCACACAAATCATGCAGGGCCTTGGAACCTCCCCACTCCTTGCTGCTCTCTGTACACAGAGTGGTGAGGCATTTCCAAGATCACACCCTTTAGTGAGGCTCCAGGGTGTCATTCCTCACTGCCAAGTTTGCTCTGGAGAGTTCCAGCCTCTGAAGAAACACAGGCAGCACTGAGGACATATGAAACATTTAATGTAAAGGTTATGGTCCAGCTGGCTCAAAGCTGTCTGTACCTCCATAGCCCCGGCTGTGACTACACAGTCCAAACTGTGTGTGCGCGCAGTGTGTGGAAGACAATAAATTTTGGCAGTAATTATTTAAGGGAGAAGAATCAGATCTAAACCAGATCTCATGGTAATACTGCACAGTTTCTGCCACATCTAGAAAGGTACTGTGATCTTCCTCTCCATAAAAGAAATAATGTTAAGAAATAAATTAATTATTGCTCATCTTCTGCAGCCTTGCATTTTTTTATTTGGGATTTTTTTATATAATGAATGAGAGACACAGTTCTGGGGCTTTGTTTTGTCTCCAAAAGGTGAAAAAGGAAATTGGGGATGTGACCATCCTGGTGAACAATGCTGGTGTGATCACAACTGCCGACCTGCTCTCAACTCAGGACCACCAGATAGAAAGAATGTTTGAAGTCAACATCCTGGCTCACATGTGGGTAAGGGCCTCTACCATCTCCATACCTACAGGGCATACCTGTTGAGGAGACCTATTTTAGGTAACCCTTATTACCAGTGAATTACCAAAGTGTCTTTTGGATGTGTACAGCACAGGGGCAGCCTTGGGAAACTTGAACAGCCTCTTGCTGATCTGAGCAGGCTGGTGACAGCCTCATGTGCAGCATCTGTCAGAGCTGTACTGGGGCTTACAGTGGGGGGGTTTCAGCTGTTAAGCAATATTTGTTTGCAGCTAAAGAGAAGCTGCAGGTTGACAAGTGTTTTATTGTACGTGTTGGGGGTGAGACACTCTCAGCATTGCCACTGACTCCTGAAACCTCAAAAGCAGCAGAGGAAAGATGTGAAAATAGATCCTGTTTATAGCTGACTTCCTGAAACATTTGCAGAGCAGGTTGCCAGGTGCACCAGCTGATCAGAGAACAGGTATCCCTGGGGCTCTCAGATTGTGAGGTGCTGTGCAGCACAAAGCATTGGTCTCTTAATAACTGATATTCAGGGTCAGTGCTGAATATGCCTAAGAAAACATTGTTCTTCTCTTCCTTCCTGACCCCTGCATTTTTGTCTCTTGGATTAAATGACTTTGAAGACGACAAGAGCTTTTCTGCCAGCCATGATGAACAACAACTATGGGCACATTGTCACGGTGGCTTCAGCAGCAGGTCATTTTGGGACTTCTTTCATGGTGGCTTATTGGTAAGTGATTTTTTTAGTCAGCTCGCTTCTTTTTTTTTTAATTTTTAATTGTGTCTTCTCCATCAGAAAATACCAAGTTATTAGCTCTGACTGAATTGAGAGCAATGCTTGTATGAAAGAATAATCATTTGACACATCAAATAATGAAAGATTTTCTTCTATTTTCTCTTCCTTACTGATCCAGACTTTTGCTTAGCAAAAAAGGTATCCTTCTCCTTACAACATAGTGATTCTGTGATTTGTTGTAGAGTTGTCAAGTAAACCCCTAGTGAGTAGTTTTTGATCCTTTTACCTTTGTGGCAGTGACTGTAGTGAATAGAAATAGAATCATCGAGGTTGGAAGGGACCTTTATGATCATGAATTCCAACTGTGAACCCAGCACTACTGCTGCAACCCCCAAACCACTTAACCACATCACCCAGTGCTAGATCCAGAGATGTCTTAAACACCTGCAGGGATTGTAACTTTACCACTTCCCTGGGCAACCTATTCCAATGCCTGACCACTCCAGTAGTGAGAAAAATTTTCTAATATTTAATCTGAATCTCCCCTGTCTCAGCCTAAGGCTAAGACTCATCTGCCTGTTCATCCTGGTCTATAACAGACTCCCACCATTATGTCTTCCCTGCTG